TTCAAGAAGAACACTGTGCAATGAGTGTTGTTGTTCGAGGCAAAGAAGTCGACTTCGGCCTCGCCAAACATTTTCCATATCAGGTGCACCGTCTGACAGCGGATCCTGTGCGTGCTGAGTAGGGAGCGCCATGTCTTCGACAGCTCCTGATGGACCTCGGGGAAGAAGGAAGAGCAGGGGAAGCGGCGTCGCCATCTTGGGAGAGAGCGAGCTGCGACTGCAGTGTCGCGACGGGCATGCCCTCACAGACCGAGCATCCGCCGGTGGAAAGTGCAGCTTGAGCATGGGCGGAACCCAGGCACGCGACGCACTTAGCATGCCCGTCCGCCTCGTGCAGAAGAGAGCCGAACGTGGCGCATGAAGAGCGAGGCATTTTGTAACAAACGCTCGCCATCCTGAAAGCAAAGCAAACAAAGGATATTGCATTGGTCGCCGGATAGCGACAGCAGAGAGACGGCTTCTGAAGCGAAGGCGAAATCCGCTGAGAGGTGCACACTCTAACTGTAGAGCTGGTTTCGACGGCGAAGCTTTTCTTCAGAGGACTCAGAGACGTGAAGTATGTCACTGAAGGAGATGAAATCTGCTATAATGGCTATTTCTGGGGCTTTTATGGTCTATGGCCACGCCCCTTATGGCGGGCTCTGACTTGTATGACGTAATGATAGCTCATTGGCGCACATGTTGGAGCCGCCCATGCCATTGGATGTGCAGTTGCCGCAGCACAGCCAATGAGTGAGCCAGACACTCACTGTGCTAGCTGTGCAGCTGCAAAATGCGTTTTACATTTTAAGCTTCAGAATTCAAGGAAAAGGAGTTTCCCCACCGCGTATAGCTACGCAATACGAAGTGGACGTTCTCGAAAGGGAACTGGTGGTGAGTGTGTATGTATAGTAGGGGTGGAACGGTACACAGAAGTCACGGTTCGGTTCATACCTCGGTTCAGACATCACGGTTCGGTACGATTTCGGTACAAGGGAGTGAAAAGCAAAACAAAAATGCAGAAGGCATTTTTATAAATGTCTTAAGCCTTGTATTTTTTTAAATAAGTTTTATTAATAAAGGCATAGAACCAGTTTATTTGTAGTGCACTGACAGTAGTTTTATATAATTAGTTTATTAATTAAATTATTAAAAAGACGAAAAGACCTTGAGATATGTTTGGTAATTGTACCTGAATGAATTTAAAATTAATTTGCTATTTCAGATCAATATATTTGTTTTCCTTCATTTTAATTAGCTAACTTTATTCTCATCTGAATTATAAATAATTGATTTCCGTATAAAATAATACTACCATAAAAACTTTTGTTAACAGGTGTAGGTTACAGTTTGACAAGAGTTTAGAGTGTGACAAAAGCACAATGTTGTGTTTTATTGCGAGTGTACACAAATATAAGTAAACAATTTGCAGTTTTAATGATGTCCTGTATGAAAAAAATGACGGAGTATGTTTTTACGTTTCCACTGTTCGATCGCCCGTGCCTCTCTCACACACACACACACACACACACACTGTTCATCGCGCGATTCGCGCCTCTCTCTCTCTCTCGCACGCGCGCGCACAGACACACACACACACACACTGTTCATCGCGCGATTCGCGCCCGCGCCTCTCTCTCGCGCGCGCGAACACACACACACCGCGCCTCTCTCTCTCGCACGCGCGCGCACACACACACACACACACACACACTGTTCGATCGCGCCTCTCTCTCTCTCGCACACACACACACACTGTTCATCGCGCCTCTCTCTCTCTCTCTCTCTCTCGCGCACACAGACACACACACACACTCCTGCATTGCAATCTTGATCGCAGCCTGTTCATTGCTGCGTTCACAGTCACACCAAAAGCGAATAGAGCGAAATTCATCGCTATTTAAGAGGTTTTTTTTATTTGTACCGTGTATTCTGCGTGCAAATTCGTGCACCGAACCGTGACGCCCGTACCGTTTCGGTTCAATATGAATACATGTACCGTTCCACCCCTATAGCCATGGCAGATTTCTTATTTCATCATTTTGGATCACACCACTGTCATCACTGCAGCATTTGCCTTGAAGTACACCAGGGGTTACTTTCATTTGTAGCAGTGTGTGTGAATAGAAGGAATCTGTGTCTGATTTCCATCATGTGGTGTGCAGGGTGGTCTGCAGGAGGTGGCAGAGCAGCTTGAATTGGAGAGAATTGGACCTCAGCATCAGGCAGGGTCTGACTCGCTCCTCACAGGAATGGCTTTCTTCAAGATGAGAGAGGTGTGCCTTCATCTACGCTTGTTAAATATCACAAAAAGTGGCACTGGATTCAGCATTTGTACTGACTGTAACATCATTGTCGTTGCAGATGTATTTTGAGGATCACATTGATGATGCCAAGTATTGTGGTCACTTGTATGGACTGGGTTCAGGCTCATCCTATGTCCAGAACGGCACCGGAAATGCCTACGAGGAGGAGGCAAACAAGCAGCAGTCATGACACAAGAATCTCTCACCATAACGAACCTCATATACAGGGCTCAAAACATGGGTTTTTAGTTGTTGTTGTTTTGTTTTCCATGAGAGATTTCATAGGAATTTGCACTTTAAAGCTCACATCCAACAGAAGAAAAAAAAAACTTCTTCCCTTTGTTGCCTTCTCTGGGTTAAATCTTTTCACACAATGTTCATCTTTTATGGTTAAGGAAGAGGAACCATTTGGTGTTTGAGTTTTTTCCCCCCACCACAGCTCAGCCTTAATATTGAGCTACTTTTTATGTTCTTCTTTTTTATCGTTAATTTATTGGATTCATTTTTTCTAGTGTACGGTTGGATTATTCATTGACTAATTTGGCGAGTACACCAGTCACCTACGTGAACTGTCGTTCCCTGATTACAGGAGTACTGTTTTCTCACACTTCGCAGTAGCTTTAGACAGATGGAGGATCTCAGACACAGGTAAATACAGGCACTTAATTGTAAAGGGAAGCCTCGCACTGATTTTACTCTTTATGTTGGGTTAGCACAGATTTTACCACACAAGTAAATTAAGAGTGAACTGCCACTATTTAAGTGAACTGAGGACACCTCATACTTCTGCATCAAAATTGTCTTTCCATTTTCATTTTTAAAAGAAATGTAAAGGTTTTGTAGTATTTTAGTATCAAAAAGTTCAAAGCCTTTTATTCATTTAATATAAGAAATAATGACTCTTAAAGGGAATCTTAACCAACTCAAGTACTCAGTATCAGTGGAATTAGTTTTACTTGTAGTGCTGGTTTTTTGAATGGTGCACATTTTGTGCTGTTTGGGGTTTTCTCCTGATTTTCCTCTTTATTCTGTTTTTGTATTGTATTGCTTTACAATTCTGTGTTGCCTAGATCTGCTGTATGTACTGAAGGATATTTGAATAAATGCTGTGTTAACTAATCTGAGCTTTTATAGACATGTGAATTGCACGAACAGCTTTTCTTTTCTTTTTTTGAATGTGTGAATTGGTGAATAATGATTTTGGTAGCTCCTAACCTCCCTCCTCCTGTTTGTCTGTCATCTTAATGTGTACAGTATCCACATTATGCAATATAGAGTGACTGTTTTTAGAGCTTTTGGGAAATAAAAGCCTGATTTTTCTAACTGAAGTCTGTTCAGACATATGCTGTATTAAGGTTTGATTGCACAATTCCTAAAGGAGTTACTAGTGTTAGATTGAAACAATACCAAAACAACACTGTAGCACTTAATAAAATATCACTTTATTTCTCTTACAGTAACTTTCATAAAGACATATCGTTCAATGGCATTATCTTACGGAGTGGAGTCTGAATGTATATGAAAACATTAAGCTAGAGCCAGCACAATTTCAGACTCTCAAAGAACAAAAGCAGCAACGACAATCAGCTTGTCTACATACACAAAGCAAGAACCAGAAGAAATCTTGTATCACAGTTTATTTTTAATGTGGTGTGTGAACCTAGTAATCACAAAGTAACAGAAATCCTATAGGACATTTCCATAAAAACTACAAAACAGACAACACACCACAGCTCTTGGCATTTCTGAGGTTTTGTTCACACCTCAAGTCAAAATCAAGTACAAGTACGTTTACATGCAATATATGGAATCAAATTCAGATAGAAATATGGGAAGTACTTTAGAAGAGCCCTTAGATAAATCAGATGCGATACAAAACCACATCTGAGTTTTGCATTAAGTGTGCAAACAGTTATGCAAAGTATTCTAAAAATAATCAATATACTGACTTATAGTGAAATGTTCACTGCAGCTGCAGTATCACAATGCATATGGACAAGAGTTATCAGAATACATTTTCCTTGCATACTTGATTCGACAGAACCATCAAGAAAACAACATTTAAAAACTGAAATAATGTGCAGCTTCAAGCGCTGTTCAAAGTGCATACAGAGTATTTTTGTCCTCCCTCTGCTTGAATAAACAGTGTTTTTGTCTGGATATGCAGTGCTATAAATGGCCTATAATGTTTTGCTACATCAGTCTTTTTACTTGTGTACGACCTTTGCAAAACTCAGGACAGCTGGGATTCAGACTTAAGGGTGATGGACAAGATCCTCACTGACACTTTGTCAAATAAAACAGATCATAGACATGATGTGAAAATGCATCTGTATAGTAATGAACAACATTTTAACAATGCAGGATCAAAATCGGTTAAAAAAAATCTGTTGTGTAGTGTAGTGGGCTTTTCAGTTTTCACATTTCAAACATGACAAACAACTATGTACCACCATCACACAGCATGCATAAATACTTCACGTTTCCCAGACTAACAAAAAATGTCACCTTCTTTAGAAATGTCTACACCACACAAGCTATATTCGAGGCATTTTCCGTACAAACTTCTATTTTTTTTAAACGTAGGTCCAGGAACCACTTTGATGTTACCTTGTTCAGCCACATCTGTGGGTATCTTTAGGCACATTAAGATATCTCAGCCATTCAGTTTCCAAGGAGGAGAAGAGACTGAGGCCCTTTATGAATGTACACTTCTGTTAGCGCTTGTGAAGGGTCACAATTCAGTAGGTAGAGAGTGGAAGGGCAGTGGAAGTCTGTGCAAGAGCAGCAGAGACGTCTTCACTGTTCCACTGACAACAGACATCATTAGGACAAAACTCCTAAAGTAGAAATATAAGAAATATAAAAATGATTTCCATTACACGAGAGTAGATGTTAAAACTTCATGCTGATTTGTACTCGGCTTTCGCCAAGATAAGCAAAACTAAGACGTAGCTTTACAGTAAACTATGCTTCTCCATCCATTTACGCTTCTTTCCATAAGGTAGTGTGACTCCCCTTCTGTCCGGCGTTAACGGCTGCAGTGTACTTGGCGCGTTAGCGCACGCGACGGCTGCAACTACAGGACCAGCACGACAACCGTCTGGATTGAACCGAGTAGGGGACATCTCTAGGGTCTTCAAGTGGGCACCTTCCGTCCTCAGTGTTTCGTCGACAAGCCCACGACACCTCAAGAGGGCTCGACAGTGACTCTGGCGTCCCAGAGTCACCCCCCTCCGTCCCCCACTCAACTCAGCCCAGCTTACTGACCTCTACATCCCTCCTGCTGCTGAGACCTAACCACAATATCACAATCTCTCCGCGACCCAACCATACGCGCCAACCCGTTGACTAAGGCTGTCGAGCCCCACTGGTGCGTTAATATGCAGTTTCAGTGGACAACGGTTCCGTATGGCATACCACCTACCGCAAAACACAATATCTACCCAACCACCCGTCATTCACGCAATATCCACAGGAACGTATACAAACAAACCAACAGACTCTTCAAGTTTTCAAGAACTCTACGAAACCGTAGCGTGGCGGCCTGTACACAGCCAGCTAGAATCTTTCCGTCTCAACCACAGCCAGTTGCTGCTCCTTTCTGCTGCTTCAGATAAGTTCTTTACTGTGCGACGCAACTCTTGGCCACTGAATCCGACGTCTCTGAGGAACCGGGTTGTAGAGTGTGCCACAAAACCTCGACAACCCACTTCCACTGGATAAACCTGGACTCTCCATCCTCGCTGTTCTGCTTCAGTGGCCAGATGAGCATACCGCAGTTTCTTCCTCTCATATGCCTCATCAACCGCATCCTCCCATGGCACTGTTAACTCTATCAGTTGAACAATGCGTGCTGATCCAGACCACAAAACAATATCTGGTCGTAGGTTAGTGGTGGCAATCTCAGGTGGAAAAATAAGCCGTTGGTCAAGATCAGCCAGCATCTTCCAGTCCCTAGCAGCTTCCAGTTGTCCTGGGCGAGAATTGGTGTTAACACCTTTTCTTGGTGATTGCTCGCCTGGGCGGAGGAATATTGTCTTCTACGTGTAATGTTTTGCTAGAACAGGTGGCAACTTATTGGTCATGTTACGCTTGCCTTCTAATGCTAAAGCCAAACATCGCAGTACTTGGTCATGGCGCCAAGTAAACCGACCTTGGCTAAGAGCCACCTTACATCCTGTCAAAATGTGCCTTAATGTGGCAGGTGATGAACACAAAGGACAAGAGGGATCCTCTCCTACCCAGAGGTTTAGGTTCTGCGGTGATGGGAGAACATCATATGTTGACCTAATAAGGAAACTGATCCTACTCTCTTCCATTGACCAAAGGTCTTGCCAGCCCATCTTACGTTGTTCCACACTCTCCCATCTCATCCACTCTCCCTGCTTGGCCTGTGAAATGGCCTTTATACACCTCATCCTCTCCTCCTGCTGTCGCACCTCGTTGACTACCAGCTTCCTCCTTTGAGCTGGGCCTGCCTTGTGCCATTTAGGAGGAGCTAAACTGAGCCCAAAACCCCCTCTTCCATGCTGTACCTGTCCCACGATATCCCTAATTTGAAGGGCAGCCTTTGCCTCTACTACAGATTTCTTTGCTGACCACTTTCTACCAGTTTTTAACACAGGGGCTGCCTCCCTTACACATTTGTCGCGTGACTCTACTAAGGTCATTTCCAGTCTGACCTTGGCACACTTGAACTCCTCGGTTAAAGCAGAGACTGGCAGCTGCAATATTCCTTTACTATAAAGTCCTACTCTGCTGAGGCAGCGTGGAACTCCCAACCATTTCCTGATGTATGAACTTACCAACGCTTCCAGCTTCTCCACTGTTGTCAAAGAAACCTCGTACACGGTCAGTGGCCACAGCAACCTCGGCAGTAGACCAAACTGAAAGCACCAGAGTTTTAGTTTACCAGGTAGAGCACAGCTGTTTATGCTCTTCAACCCTTCCACTGCTTGTCGTCTAACTTCTCCCACCCGACCTGTGTCCTTTAGATCCCCATCGTACCATCTCCCAAGACTCTTCACTGGCTTCTCAGAAACTGTTGGTATTGCCTCACCATTAATGAAGAATGTTTTATCTACTACCTTTCCTTTAACTATCGAGATGCTCCTTGATTTAGAGGGCTTAAATTTCATTCGTGCCCATTCAATATTATCTGTTAACTTCCCCAATAACCGATTAGTGCAGGCTACTGTTGTAGTCATGGTTGTCATGTCATCCATGTATGCTCTGATTGGTGGTAGTCGCATCCCAGAAGCCAAGCGCTCTCCTCCTAATACCCATCTTGATGCCCTCATGATTACTTCCATCGCCATGGTAAAAGCCAGTGGAGAAATGGTGCATCCTGCCATTATTCCAACCTCTAGGCATTGCCATGCAGTGCTGAATTTTGGAGTTGAGAAACTGAATTGCAAATCTCCAAAATAGGCTTTCACTAAATTTGTTATTGACATTGGTACTCTGAAAAAATCAAATGCTGCCCAAAGAAGCTCATGTGGCACTGAACCATATGCATTAGCCAAATCCAGGAATGTCACATGGAGCTCCTTCCTCTCCTTTTTAGCTGACTGAATTCGTTGCCAGATAACATTGATGTGTTCTAAGCATCCTGAGAACCCTGGAATACCCGCTTTTTGAACTGAGGTGTCAATGAAGCCATTCTTTAACAGGTAGGTGGACAATCTCTGGGCAATAATGCTGAAGAAAATCTTACCCTCAACGTTTAATAGTGAAATAGGACGAAACTGACTGATGCTTGTAGCATCTTTTTCTTTAGGTATAAAGACTCCACCTGCTCTGCGCCATGCTCTAGGTACAACCTGTTTTTCCCATGCCACTTTTATCAATTTCCACAGAATTCGCAGAACTCCTGAAGCACTCTTGTACACTCTGTACGGAACTCCATTAGGCCCTGGAGATGATGAAGCCCTTGCCTTTCTCACAGCCTGCTCTACCTCTTTCCACTTAGGTGCACAGACCTCCATTTGGTATTCTGGTGGGTTGATAGGTGGTATGTCTGATGGAATTGACATAGGCTCATGCCTTTTTGCATCTGTATGCGTGTCCTCCAAATATCTCTCTAGCTCAATCCTAGATGTTTTTAAAGTGCCATTCTTCTCACTGGTGAATAACTTCTTTACGAATTTGAATGGGTCTTTATAGAAATTAGCCCTCGCACGTTCCTTCTTTTTGTAGCGTTTCCGTAGGCGCTCAGCTCTGCGTAATGTTGCCAGCTTATCTTTTATGGCCCTTTGTAAGAGATTGAGTCCCTCCTTCTGACTTTGTTCTGCTCTTTTCCATTGCTTCCTCAGCTGTCTCCTTTCTCTAACTAACCCTTCAATTTTCTGCTGCCGTCTAGACATTCCAGGAGTAGTTTGTACTTTTTCCTTCCTTTTTTCCACACCAAACCTCTCACTTCCATATGCGTAAATGATGTCCCCAAATTTATCCAGCTTCTTTTCAACTGTACCAGTTAATCTTTCCAATGCAAAGCATAGATCTGTGTTTACCGTGTCCCATGCAGTTTTCTCACAAGCTCTTGGCCATCTAACTCCAGGCCTATGCCCGTTGAGGTTCTTTTCTCTCTTATGCTGGTTAGCCTGACCGGGTTCACAAGTATGAATATGTTCATCACTAACTGTGCAAGCCCTCCTTTCGTCAATGACAGGGGTGCTGATATCCTGCGAGCTGTGGTTTGCTTCCTGTCGCTGGATTTCATTCGACTGACTTGACTGACTTCGTAAGAAGTACTGATCAATGCGAGGCCCTTGTCCCTTCTCCCTCAAGCATTTCATTTTCCCTTGATGAACCTTCAAACCCCTGACCGTTGTCACCTTGCTCCAGCCACAGATAATATAATACTCATATAATATAATATAATATATCAGTATATGTGGTATGTTCAATACACTACCATTCAAAGGTTTGGGGAAAGTAAGATGGTTTAAAATAAATTAATACTTTTATTCAGGAAGGATCCATTAAATGAATTAAATGCCCAAGTAAAGACATTGATAATGTTACAAAATATTTATATTTCAAACACATGCTGTTATTTTGAACTTTCCATTCATCAAAGAATCCTGAAAAAAACATATTGTAGTTTTCACAAAAATATTAGCACATAGCACAACTGTTTTTTGTTTGTTCAAAAAAAAATGTTTCTTGAGCAGCAAATCAGCATATTAGAATGATTTCTGAAGGATAATGTGACACTGGAATAATCATATCACCAGAATATAAAAAAATATATATTAAAAATAGTTAATTTACATTGTAATAATATTTCATAATTGTACTGTTTTTACTGTATTTTTGATCAAATAAATGCAGCATTGGTGAGCATAAGAGAAAAAAAAATTACTCCAAACTTTTGAACGGTAGTGTTACAATACTATAATTTTGAAGCACTTTAAAGTTTTATTATCTGAAAATAAGTCAAATGTTATTGTAATATGTACACACAAAAGTAACAAACCTGTTTCATTAACATGTTCCTAAGTTTCCTTCTCAATAGTCAAGGCTGGGTTGCTTGTACCTGTCAGGAAAACACAGCATGAAAAGTGTACAACGTTGTTTCCCCACACTGTAATATTACCTCACACATTCACAGCTCCAGGTTTACCTCATATCTATTAGTCATATCTATGGTCAAGACAAACAGAACACTCAATGTAATGGTTTTGTAATGATCTCAGATGTGACATAACTGTCCTGTCACCTCGCTTGTCTCGGTCTTCACTTCCCTCTGACTGTCCGTTATTCAGCAGCCGGCTCTGAGACTCTCTCAGAGGTTTAGGTGGAAACTGATGAGACTCACCAGCACTGGAAGAATGAAAAGGGCATGAATGGAAAGCTCTGCATATCAGCAATACACTATCCCACAATGCAATGCGCATTTCAAGTGTGACAGTGGAACCAGAAGTAATATCTACTGCAAATTTCTGTCTTGACTCATTGTTTGATTGGACTGTCAAAGGTGGGACATTTTTTCTTATATTTATATATATATATATATTTATATTTTTATACAATATGTTCCTAAATGAATAATTCATCTGAGGCATGAACCTTTTGATAGAAGGGTTGCGTCCTGGGGGCAAGGAGGGTTGTTCGGGGTCTGGGTTCGCTAGACATGTGGGGAATGAACAGCCGTCACCCAGACTGCAGAAACACAACGTGATACAGAGCGAATGAGATAGGCCAACACTGACACTGATATTTTCAGTGCTACTGAATATGACTGATACCTTGAAAAAACAGGCAGCAGCCAGTATTTCTTTTTTTCTCCAAACACTTGGCGAAAGTTATTGTTTGTTCCTAAACTGAAGCCGTTCTTGTCTGGGCCATGCTGGAACGCAGGAGCTCTGAAAGCCTCTGACAGGAGAAACATTTAAACCGCATAAACACATAAAGACACTTCATATGCAATCCTAACATGATTTCCAATTTTCTCTTAAAGGAGTAGTTCACTTTTAAAAAAACTTTTGCTTATAATTTACTCACCCCCATGTCATCCAAGATGTCCATGTCTTTCTTTCTTCAGTCGAAAAGAAATTAAGGTTTTTGATGAAAACATTCCAGGATTTTTCTCCATATAATGCACTTTACTGGGTACCAAACGGTCCAAGGTCCAAAAGACAGTTTCAGTGCAAACTGCAAACTGTTCAAAGGGCTTTAAAGGAGTCATAATGTGCAATTTTCACTTTTCCATGAGAATCAATGTATGTTATGATTGACTAACGATTATACATTGGCCGGGATGCTGATATTCAAAAGTGAAGCGTTTGTTTACCCCAGGGTTCTTAAACTAGCCAACGTGCACGCGCACTCAAATACGAGATTTCAATTTCTCCCCCGACTTGACGTCAAGACGGGGCCGGATATACCATATATGGACACCGCAGAGGAGGCCCGCCCTGCCCCTCTCCCCATCATATTCAGTCAAGAAAGATGCAGAAACGTAGTGCACACGTGAGTTGGTCTGTGGTTAACTGTCATAATCCACATTCTAATGTTTTTTCTTTACCCAAAACTGACCAAACTACAAGGGACAAGTGGATGAAATTTATTTTTAATGACGCTGTTCCAACAACCATCTCAACTTGCTCAACGTTAGGTGTCTGCGCTAAACATTTCACAAAAGAATCTTTTACAAATTTGGGGCAATATCAGGCGAAGTTGGCATCGAAGCTACGTTTGGAAAAAGGTGCCATTCCAACAATCAGGGACTTGCCTGAATTTGAAACGGTAAGACTGTGTTTTTATTACTATATTTTGTGTAACAAACAGCAGCTAACTACTAATGCGGTTAATGTATCTGATAAGGATAGATAAATTTAAAAAACAGTCAAGAATTAATAAACATAAAGAAAAACGAATCGGTTACCTAACGTAACCTCGGTTCTCTCTAGAAGAGGGAACGAGTATTGCGTAAGCTAGCTTACGCTGCGGGAAAGATTCATCTTTGCTGAGATATTGAAGCCAAAAATTATTTCATAATTTGTATCCATACACAACGCAGTTCCTCTGCGGCAGACCTAGAGCAGGCTAGCTAGCAGCTCATTGGTTCGCTCAGAGAGAACTGCTTAAGCCTATGGGAGAGCGGGGCTGAACCCGCTTCCAATGAGAGGCGCCCGCGCGCTCATTGCGTCATGGCCCGCCAGAATGGGCGTGGCCATGGTGTATATAACAGTCTCTCCCAGGCTTATATGTTGATTTATTTCAGCGTGAAGCGAAACGCTAGTAGCGCAAGCACGGCCGGGAACGCAATACTCGTTCCCTCTTCTAGAGAGAACCGAGGTTACGTTAGGTAACCGATTCGTTCTCTTACGAGAGGTTCTCTCGTATTGCGTAAGCTAGCTTACGCTGCGGGAACACCTGGTCAACGCCGTGCGCGCTATGAATCCACTCATGAATCCCAGGGTGATACCGGGGGATTTTTAACGTGGAGTGAATGTATTATGAGGCCGGCAGAGCGGGCACATGAAGTGTATACATAAGCATGTATGAGGCCGGCAGAGCGGGCACATGAAGTGTATAAGCATTTAAGGAGAGCACAAGGGGCGAACCGGTTGTGTGAGGGACTCCCAGTAATGCAGCTTCTTAGGGAGCTGGTCGTTAGACAGCTAGTAATTTTGCCTGCAAGGCGGGAACTTCCAAGTTGTAAAATCTGACAAAAGTGGACGGGGAGGCCCATCCCGCGGCCACACAAATGTCATGAATGGAAATTCCACAGGACCATGCCCACGATGAGGCCATGCCTCTAGTGGAGTGCGCCCTGATGCCCAGAGGGCAGGGCAGGCATTTAGATGCGTAAGCAGAGGCGATAGCGTCTACTATCCATCTAGACAGTGTCTGTTTAGAGGCGGCCAGACCTTTGGTGCGCCCCCCAAACGACACGAAAAGCTGCTCAGCGCGTCTGAACGCGGCAGCGCGCGTAGTGTACAATCTCAGAGCCCGCACCGGGCAGAGGAGATTGGCGTCGCGCTCACTATCGGATGAAGGCAGAGCCGATAGGGAAATAATCTGAGCCCTGAACGGGGTACCAATCGCCTTCGGGACATAGCCATGTCTAGTTTTAAGAATGACAACAGAATCATTCGGACCAAACTCGAGACACGCGGCGCTGGATGAGAGCGCGTGAAGATCCCCCACGCGTTTTACTGAGGACAGAGCCGTCAGAAAAACGGTTTTGAGCGAGAGGTATTTTAGGTCCACAGACTCGAGCGGTTCGAACGGGGGTGCTTTCATAGCTTCGAGAACTATAGAAAGATCCCAGATAGGAACCGAAGGGGGGCGCGGAGGGTTCATCCTCTTAGCTCCCCTGAGGAAGCGGATGACTAACTCGTCTTTGCCCAGGGACTGAGCGCGTCGGGGTTCAGAGAACGCCGCGACGGCTGCCACGTAAACCTTGAGAGTGGAGGGGGACCTGCCCTTGTCCAGCATCTCTTGAAGGAAAACAAGCAAAGACGGCACCTCGCATGACCGTGGGTCCAGATGTTTGTCGGTGCACCATTTTGAGAACACAGACCATTTAGACGCATAGAGCCTTCTCGTGGAAGGTGCTCTAGCCTGTATGATAGTGTTTCTTACTCCTTCTGGCAAATCAACGAATAGTCGTTGATCACCCATGCATGTAGCGCCCAGCGCCGTGGATGGGGGTGCCAGATCGTGCCGCGAGCCTAAGAGAGGAGATCTGCTCTGACTGGGATGGGCCACGGGGCTGTCTGCGACAGCTGAGTGAGCTCCGGAACCCAATTCTGACTCTCCCAACGCGGGGCTATGAGGAGCACCGAGTGGCGTGTGTCCCTGATCCTCTGAATTACCTGTGGTAGCAGAGCGATCGGAGGGAATGCATAGAGCGGGCGGCGAGGCCATTCCTGGGCTAGCGCGTCCTCGCTCCTTGAGAAAAATATTGGGCAGTGAGCGTTCTCTTCTGACGCGAAGAGGTCCACCTCTGCTCTGCCGAATAGCCGCCACAGTATTTGGACCGTTTGTGTGTTCAGGGACCATTCTCCTGAGGAGATGAGGTTCCTGGACAGAATGTCTGGGCCGTCGTTCAGATGGCCCGGCACATGCGTCGCTCTGAGCGAGAGCAGGCGGCTCTGAGACCAAACTAAAATGCGGTGTGTCAGTAGGAAGAGATTCCTGGACCTGACACCGCCCTGACGGTTGAGATAGGAGACCACAGCCATGTTGTCCGAACGGATCAGGACGTGGTGTCCCCGAATGAGCGGGAGGAAGCGCGAAAGCGCGTTCTCGACCGCAAGCATTTCCAGACAGTTTATGTGTAAGGGGCTTTCCTGTGTCGACCAATGGCCGAAGGCTGGTGAGCCCTCGCAGACTGCACCCCAACCCGTGTTGGATGCATCTGTCGAGATGACTTTTCGGCGAGAAAAGGTCCCCATCGTGACGCCCTGTCGAAACCATTCTGCTACTGTCCATGGCTGCAGCGCCGTGAGACATGTCTGCGTAACTCTGATCAGCTAGCGGCCCGTGTTCCACGCGCGGTGGGGTACATGGCTGTTTAACCAAAGCTGAAGCGGACGCATGTGCAGAAGGCCCAGCTGAAGCACAGCGGAGGCTGAGGCCATGTAACCCAGCATCCTCTGAAAAGTTTTCAGAGGTGAGCGGGTGCCCATCTGAAACGAGGCGGCCAGTCGCTGTACACTGCGCGCGCGCTGTGTAGACAGGCGAGCCGTCATCGTGACCGAGTTCAAATCTATTCCTAGAAAGGAAATCGATTGACTGGGTTGAAGGGAGCTCTTTGTCCAGTTGACAGAGAGGCCCAGCGTTTTCAGATGGTCGAGGAGAACTGCGCGGTGCGACAGAAGCTCCGTCTGTGATTGGGCCAAAATCAGCCAGTCGTCCAGATAATTCAATATGCGCAGCCCCTGGCTCCGCAGGGGGGCGAGCGCCGTATCCATGCACTTCGTAAATGTGCGGGGCGCCAGAGATAAGCCGAACGGGAGAACGGCGTATTGATAAACATGACCCTCGAAGGCGAAACGTAAGAATGGCCTGTGACGGGGATTTATCTGGATCTGAAAATAGGCGTCTTTCAGGTCTAGAGAGATGAACCAGTCCCCCTGGCGCACCTGCGCGAGGAGTTTCCTGGTAGTGAGCATCTTGAACGGTCTCTTCATGAGCACTTTGTTCAAAGACCTGAGATCTAAAATCGGTCTGAGGCCGCCGTCTTTCTTGGGAACCAGAAAATAACGGCCGTAAAAACCCGACTCGGTCATAGATGGTGGGACTCTCTCTATGGCGCCCTTTTGCAACAGCGTCGCAATTTCTGAGCGGAGCGTGCCGGCGGCCAGCGGGCTGACAGTAGATTCGAGCCGCGCGCGCATGAGGCGGGCGGCGGCGAAACTGTAGCAGATAGCCGTCCTTTATAATGCTTAGCACCCACGGGGAAATGCCTGGAATGGCTTCCCACGCTTTGGAGCATGCGGCTAGTGGCCGAATGGCTATATCGCCCTGATTGCTGCACATAGCGGGCTGGACACAGTGTGTGGGCGCGCTTTGAATGTGTGTGGCAACGGGATTTGCACTCAGAGAGGAGTCTATGGGCCGTGAAACAGAGCGAGCAGAGAGGGGACACGCGCACGAGCTCGTGGGCGTGTTTATGTTCTCTGATATTAGAGCGGGCTGTGCCCGTTTCATGTGATGGGGCTCTGATAGAGACACGGGGTATGTTATGCTTGTGTGTATGGGTGAGCACATGATTGTGGGCACATTTTCTACACAACTGGCAAATTTTCTCTTTTTGAGATTTCTCTGGGTAGCCGTAAAAACGGCCTTTTTGTCGCTCGCAAGCGGGCTGGGACACCGGCTTGTTTGTGGCGGTCAACACTACAGCAGTCGGCGAAATAACGGGGAGTGACAGAGGGCGAAGCTTTGACGGCGGTCCGGCCGCAGCGGGAGAGCACCGTCGTTTTCTTGACTTTGCTAGGCAGACTTCTGATGATCAGGCTTCAGCGTGATCTTAGGTCGCGGGCCTCGTGGGGGCGGCGGTCTGCGGCGGCTGTCAGAGCGAGAGCGAGGGCGGCCGCCCTGTCTGCGCTGGGCTGTTTGAGTCTGCGGAGGGGGGCGCTGTGGTGGAGCTCTGGCAGGAGGCTCGCGAGAGCGGCCCGCGGAAGAGCTAGCGCGGCGGGGCAGAAACAAATTCATCGCCTGAGTAGCTTTCTGGACCTCAGAAAAGCGATCGACGATTCCCGTGACAGCAGATCCAAAAAGGCCCGTCGGGGAGAGGGGCGCGTTAAGAAACGCGGCGCGCTCAGAATCTCCCATGTCGGCGAGCGTGAGCCATAAGTGTCTCTCGGCAACACAAAGGCTGGCCATGCATCTCCCCAGAGCTTGTGCGGCGGCTTTAGTGGCGCGAAGGGCGAGGTCCGTAGCACTTCTCAGATCCGTGACAGCGGGGGAGGGGTTTCTACCGCCTTCGGCCCACTCACAGAGAATATCGCTCTGTAATACTTGGAGGACAGACATCGAATGTAGCGCTGCGGCGGCCTGACCGGCGGCGGCGTAGGCGCGAGCATGAAAGCTCGAGGTCGCTCTGCAAGCTTTCGAAGGAAGCGTGGGGGAAAAGCGCCATCTAGCAGAGGGCGGGCAGAGGTGTGCGGCGACCAAGTCCTCGACGGGCGGCATGGCTGAGTAGCCTTTCTCGGCGGCTCCGTCCACCGAGCGCAGCGAGGCGGATATATCAGAGCGGTTTCTAGCCGAGAGCGGGGCATTCCAGGACTTCGTCAGCTCTGCGTGAAGTTCAGGCAGGAATGGAGCGGCCCGGTTGCACGCGGGGGTCGAGCGCCGATGAAAAAGCTGCCGTCCATCCGGTTCGGGGCCTGCTCGGGTGGAGGAGACCACTCGAGACCGAGGCGTTTGACGGCCTGTGAGAGGAGGCGCATTAGTTCCTCCTCTATCCCGGCGCGGATCCCCGCCGATTCTCTCGTGGATCCGAGAGATGACCATTCTTCACTGTCAGAAGCGAGCAGTGAACAGGAGTCCTTCTCCTCCGCGGCGTCATCGGAAGCGACAGAGCGGCCACTCGGCGGCAACTGTATGTCCGGCAGGGGCGGGGAGGGAGAGCGGGAAGCGGGAGGCGGCGGCGGCGGCCCGCATTGTTCCGCTGGGGGCTCCGGCGGCCTCTGGGAGCGGCGTTTTTTCTTACGCGGCGAAGAGGAAGGCGGCGCGGGAGCGGATTTTGCTGCCAGAAGTCGTGCCCGCAGGGACGACAACGGCAGGCTCTCACAGAAGTCGCATCCTCCATCCGCGAGGGCGAGTTCTGCGTGCTCGAGTCCCAGGCAGAGAGCGCAGATGACATGGCGGTCTCCGTCCTCGAGACGAGCGCGGCAAGAGCCGCAGGAAAAACGAGACATCTTTAAAAAGACGCTCGGCTCTTTTAGATATAATAGAGAAGGATACAGTCGTCGGATGGCGCTAGCTTGCAGGGCGGCTGAAGGTGGCGAAGACGGCCGGCTTCTTCAGGGTCCGGGAGCTCGCTAGAGTGATGCCTTCTCGACGGCGACGGCTTTTCTCAGGACAGCAGAAGCTTGCAGCTTGCTGAAGATGAAATGAATCAACATATAAGCCTGGGAGAGACTGTTATATACACCATGGCCACGCCCATTCTGGCGGGCCATGACGCAATGAGCGCGCGGGCGCCTCTCATTGGAAGCGGGTTCAGCCCCGCTCTCCCATAGGCTTAAGCAGTTCTCTCTGAGCGAACCAATGAGCTGCTAGCTAGCCTGCTCTAGGTCTGCCGCAGAGGAACTGCGTTGTGTATGGATACAAATTATGAAATAATTTTTGGCTTCAATATCTCAGCAAAGATGAATCTTTCCCGCAGCGTAAACTAGCTTACGCAATACGAGAGAACCTCTCGTAAGAGAACATAACGTTACATGTCTGCAGATGAAAATTATTAAATATCTAAAAAACCACAACGTCAAAAAAGGCAAAAACAACACATTATAGCAAACGTTAATCTCTATAACCACTGTAAGCTGAAAATAAAGTAGACTACATCTCCGTTAATGTAATCTACATTAAATTAAAGCTAAACTTATGTGGGAGAAAATAGCAAAAAACGTTTTAGCTCGTTACTGATGTTAATGTAGTATGTCTCAGTCAAAAAAATAGTCTTTACCATTCAGAGACATGTTGATGTAGACGTCCTTCAATTGACTGTTGTTCCTCTTCCGTTTCCAGCTCTGGTTCAGAGTCTGGCTCAAACATATACAGTTGAATCCCGTAGGTCGCGGCCGGGTCGGGTTCATTAACAACTTGCGCCATGATTTCTTTTTTGAATGATATGCTGAAGTTACCTGCGGTGTCAAGCCCCCTCCTTCCTGCCACCAATCAACGCGCCCCTCATTTGCATTATTAAAATGACCGTCCACGACAGCCAAAATCTCGCATCAGATCTCGCGAGACAATAATGCATTCAGAAATAAGGGTCAAACGAGCTCTGTGTTTATTTTTTTCCAATTTTTCTTTTTTAGAAGGGCATGAAATGACTATAATAGAGCGTGGGTATCAAAGTTAATACTACATTATGACTCCGTCTCCTTTAAACGATTCCAGACGATGAATAAGGGTCTTATCAAGCGAAACGATCGGTCATTTAAAAAATAAATAAGAAAGTTTAAGTTTTATAAGCTCACATGCTCGCCTCGCTCTGTTCTGTGTAACTCTCCTGTTCGAACTCGTTCATCAAAATGAACAAATCTTTTTACGAGTCATTTGATTCATTTAACGACCGAAATGAACGAATTGACTCGGAAAAAGATTTGTTCATTTTGATGAACGAGTTCGAACAGGAGAGTTACACAGAACAGAGCAAGGCGAGCATGTGAGCTTATTAAACTTAAACTTTTTTTTTTTTTTTTTAAATGAGCGATCGTTTCGCTTGATAAGACCCTTATTCATCGTCTGGTGTCATTTAAAACCATTTGAACAGTTTGCAGTTTGCACTGAAACTGTCATTTGGACCTTGGACCGTTTGGTAGCCAGTAAAGTGCATTATATGGAGAAAAATCCTGGAATGTTTTCATCAAAAACCTTAATTTCTTTTCGACTGAAGAAAGAAAGACATGGACATCTTGGATGACATGGGGGTGAGTAAATTATCAGCAAAAGTTTTTTTTAAAGTGAACTAATCCTTTAACTTTTAACCCTCTAAAGCCTAACATATGAAATACTAATCAGTATTTCAGTATAATCAATGGAGACTAGTCAGTTCCATATTTTTTTATGGAAAACTTATTTGAGCCTTTAGACAAAAATATTTGTTAACCCTTTGTGTGTGTTTTTTTGTGTAGAGTATCATACTTTTATGACTCCTATATATTATGATATAGGAGAATATGGAGCTCATACTCAAGAAGAAAAAAACACCTCAATTTTATTCAGAGGCCCAAACTTTATTGCTATTGCTGATATTTATGTATATCTGATTGCTTCTAATGTAAATCAATGAGATTGTTATAACAGTATAGCACAGTACTTACATGAAACGCCTTTAAATATCAGTTGTAACTCTATTTCTACCAAAAATATGTCTTACTAAGATGATATTTAAATCTTTAGTCTTATGATCAAAGCTCGGTGTTTTAATTGTGGGGGTAAAGCATATAATGCAATGCAATGCAATGATAATTTAGAGATGAACAAATAAACATTTCTCAAAAGCCTGATGTCTCATATTTGATACTAAAATTTTAGCATGATTTTTCTAAAAAAAAATACAATTAAAAAAATCAGATAGAAAATAAGTAAAAATTTCACCGCAAAAAGACATGTGCCACAACCTAAAGGTGGACATTTTTAGAATCATACTAAAAAGTTATTTACTTGCTAATAAAGTATGAACGGTCAATCAGACAAGAGAAGGCATGTAGTAGATTGTGTACAACAAAGATTTGTTCGCGGTGATAATTTATTGTCCTTAGAAATTTGAGTATCAAATATGATACAGTAGGCTTTGCAGGATTAAGAATAAAATATATGTCTGATTCTGAGATTCATTTTTTTTTACATTTTTAACCATAATGCATCTTGACACACTTGCTTTTGCCAGAAGACTGGGCATGTTGCACATGTTTCCCTTGAGGATCTGCCACAAAGGGCAGACGGCAGAAGACCTAAACTCCACCTGCCCCAGATCTGAGTCACTGGTTGTATGAGACGTATTTGATCAGGCAGTGCGGACAGATGATCATAGAATGCAAAATACACACTATTGAGGAGCCCATGTTGACTAGTGAAATCCAAGGGTAATTACAGCACAACCCACTCACCCAATGTGGATCTGTTCTTGCAGACAAGCCAGCAGTGATAAGCAAACAAGAACGCTAGGCTCACTGAGAACGTGGAGGCAGCGAAAAACAGGAACATGATGTGAAATTTGGCTTGGGTATCAGGCAGGCCATTCTGTGAGAAACATGGAGAAAACACCACAAACAGGCGTAGACTGAAATAAACAAACAAAAAAACAGATCAGGCCTAATTCAAGCTATTGGCTGCTATATTATCTAGTTGATAAACAGTTTTACAGAATATAGTATGTCTGGAATACTCAAGTTACATAAAGTTGTGAAATTAAACTTGTGGGATACATGGTCCCTATGGACAGTCTATTCTAGACTAGAACATTTTTTGAACAAGCCTACATTTCCTTGTCTACTGCATCTAACAGAAAGTGTAACTTACTGTAGGTGTTGTGCTGAGGGAAACTATTAAAACTACAGGAACTATCAATGTCTGTGATTGACTCAGTCCTACCAAATACTGGATTAGACGCTGATGTGTTTTACCATCAACCTTTCAAAATAAAAATAAAACATTGTTTTTATTGAGTACTCCAGTTGGTGTGTTATTCAATTAAAGACAGCCTATCTGAACATTCAAATGATCTGTTTCCTAATATAAGCCTAATAAATTAATAATTCATACTTACAGTCCAGAACTGAATGAAATACTGCAAGTCTGTGGCAGTGACAAAGAGGCAATACAACAATGAATATGCTAGGAAGAGCATGAAAAACTTGTAGTTGGCGAAGCCCACGCAATTGTTCACCCTGTCAAAGAAGACAAAATGCCTATTAGCCTCAATAAAATTGGATATTAATATCTATTTTTATTGCAAAATACTGCCCAACATACACTATAACAAGGGAAAATGGGCAGTTCCCTTTCGAGGGAACTCGCGATGCGTCACTTGACGCTTTGGGAACGCCCCCAGCGTGCATGCGTCTGAGCATCAATGTCAACTAGTCCAATGGAAAGAATGAGCGTCACGGGCGGGTGACGTCATGACCAGGAAGGGATAAAGGCTCACCCGGTGAAACGCGGCATTAGCTTCTGTGTCTCAGCAAGCGATTTGTGTCATTTTGTCTCTGTCTATTTACTGTTGTCTGTTGCGGAAAAGGATGGAAACTAAACAAGTGTACAAACAGTGTGCTTCTCCCTGCCCGCGTTATTTAACGGGTGGGGACACACACGAGCTTTGTGTCGTTTGTTTGGGAGTGGAGCATGCGGTCTCAGCCTTCGAGGGGGCTGAGTGCCAGCATTGTGAGATGTTACCGCTTCGCATGCTCCGCTCTCGCCTGTCACTCTTTGATAAAGAGAGTGGGCAGGCTCGCGATCCACAGGGATCAGGACCCGCGTCTGCTGAGGCAGCGCGGAGAATGCATTCCTGGGGATCGCAAAAGGATCTTTCGGAGGGGTTGGAGACGGGTCCAAGGGCTCTTTCTCCTTCCTTACCCGAGAGATCCAGTGCTCTCTCCCCGGTGTCGGAAGCACGCTCTGCGGTTTCTTCTGCCCGGGGAGAGAGCCCTCCATTACTTTATTGCTCTTCCTCCGAGGAGGTTGATGCGATGAGTGTGGAGAGTGTAAGCACACACATGGGGGAAAGAGATTCACAATTTATTTCCCCAGCATATGATGAGCTGGTGGATGTTATGTCGCGGGCTGTAGAGAAATTAAATATTGAATGGCCATCTGAGAAGAAGGGCGCTCGTCCTAAAAGCAAATTAGATGAGCGCTTTTTATCTTCCACCACATTATCTCCACCACGAGGGCTTCCATTTTTTCCCGATTTGCACAATGAAATTTCTAAATCGTGGAATAAACCATATTCATCACGTCTTTTCAGCCCTCATGTTAACACTTATTCGAGAATAAGAGGGCTGAAAGAGTATGGTTATGAGGCGATGCCCCAGGCGGAAGAGAATTTAGCCAGTTATCTTTCCCCTGGTCCCGCATCGTCTCTGAAAGCCTCGGCTTTGCCCACTAGACCGCTTAAAGCCACTTCGGTGTTAGTGGGCAAAGCTTATACGGCAGCAGGTCAAGCTGGAGCATGTCTGCATACTATGGCTGTGCTCCAGGCTTATCAAGCTGACCTGCTGGGGGATCTGGATAGTAGTGAGGGAGTCAGTCATGACGATATTCGTGAACTTCGTCGGGCTACCGATCTTTCTCTCAGGGCTACTAAGGAGACCGCCAGAGCAATTGGGCGGTCTATGGCAGCCTTGGTAGCTACTGAGAGACATTTATGGTTAAATCTGTCTGAGATTAAAGAAAAAGATCGAGCTTTTTTATTAGATGCTCCGCTTGAACCTTCTGGTCTCTTCGGCGACGCAGTCCACGCGGTCGTCGAGAGATTTCAGGAGTCAAAGAAACAAGCGGACGTTTTTAAAAAGTTTATCCCTCGCCGGGTCCAGCCCCCTGGGACTGCTGGGCGTGAGCAGCCCCAGCCGTCGAGCTCATCATATCGTGTGCATCAGAAAGAGAGTGTTGCGTCTCGTGCACCTCCACGTAGAGACTGGAGACGGACGCAACCCTCTCAACCGAAGTCTTCTAAGTCGAAGCCGGATCTGAGGACCGTTCTTCAGGCGAAGAAGACTTCGGTTCAAAAAAAAAAAAGGTCCTGATGTTCATGCATCAGGCCTGTGAGGACAGCCCCGACCGAAGTGGAGCGGTGTACACCTCATTATACGGTGCCCGTTCCATTTCGGGGTCCTTACGAGACCGTTCTGCCAACCCTGCCACCCTTGGTGCTTCAGGGCGCAGCGGTCTCCAGCGAGTCGCTGATGCTATGCTGCGGCACAGCATCGGTTTCGCGCCCTCTGAGGGGGGCCTTAGAGCGGCCAGTTCAGGTAGTTCCTGCCATTATGTTTCAGGCTCCGGAATTGGCTGTCTCGATAACACCAGAGACCAGCCTCGAGAGGCTGGTTCCCTTAGTAAATTTTCTGGCAGCGTGGAAGCTTCTGCCGAATATTTCTCATTGGGTCCTGCAGATTGTAGAGAAAGGATACAGAATCCAGTTTGGTTCTCGTCCTCCTCGTTACAACGGGGTGCTGCCCACAGTGGTGCATCCCGAGCAGGCTCTTGTAATGGAGCAAGAGGTAAAGGCCCTGTTAGCAAAGGAAGCTATAGAACAGGTGTACTCACCCGACAGAGAGTCGGGTTTTTACAGCCGTTATTTCATTGTTCCAAAAAAGGATGGGGGGTTGCGTCCCATTTTAGATCTTCGTCTGTTGAATCGTTCAGTACAGAAACTCAAGTTCAAGATGCTGACACTCAAACAGATCGTGACTCAAATCAGGTCCGAGGACTGGTTTGTCACGATAGATCTGAAGGACGCCTACTTCCATATCTCCATCCTCCCTCAGCACAGGAAGTTCCTAAGGTTTTCTTTCGGGGGCAAAGAATACCAATATCGGGTTCTTCCTTTCGGTCTAGCTTTATCACCCCGCACGTTCACGAAATGCGTGGATGCAGCTCTAGCCCCTCTCAGGCTTCAGGGCATACGTATTCTGAACTACATCGACGACTGGCTGATTCTGGCGGAATCAGAGCAGTTGGCGGTTCGGCACCGAGGTGTCGTTCTCGCCCATATGCAGATGTTGGGGTTGAGGCTCAACGCCAAGAAGAGTGTTCTTTCTCCAGTACAGAGAACCACTTTCCTTGGTGTGGTATGGGATTCAGTGACGATGCGGGCCACTCTATCGCCCGTTCGTGTAGCTGCTATCCTGACAGCCACCAAAGAGCTAAAGCTAGGCCAGTCACGCACTGTGAAACAGTTCGAGAGACTGTTGGGTCTCTTGGCGGTAGCGTCCAACGTGATTCCTTTTGGCCTGCTGTACATGAGACCTTTACAGTGGTGGCTAAGGACCAGAGGGTTCTCCCCGAGGGGAAACCCACTTCGTATGATCAAGGTCACGCGGCGGTGCCTTCGTGCCTTAATTATATGGAGGAAACATTGGTTCTTAACCCAGGGTCCGGTATTGGGAGCTCTTTGCCATCGTGTTACGATCTCGACAGATGCTTCCCTCACCGGCTGGGGAGCGGTAATGGAAGGCCGCTCGGTTCAGGGTCTGTGGAAAAGTCATCATCTTTCGTGGCACATCAATTGCCTGGAGATGATGGCTGTCTTCAATGCGTTGAGACAGTTTCTCCCAGACCTGAGGGGCCATCATGTGCTTGTACGAACAGACAACACATCAGTGGTCTCTTATCTGAACCGTCAGGGGGGTCTGCGGTCGCGTCCGCTCTGCAAACTGGCGCACCAGATCCTCCTGTGGTCTCTGGGGAAGGTACTCTCCCTGAGGGCAGTGTATATTCCTGGGGACCAGAATGTGGGGGCAGACATCCTGTCGAGGCAGGAGCTGAGGCCAGGGGACTGGAGACTCCACCCCGAGGCGGTGGAGAAAATTTGGGAGTTTTACGGCCAAGCAGAGGTGGATCTGTTTGCGTCTCAGCACACGACGCACTGTCCACTTTGGTTCTCCCTTACTCACCCAGCCCCCCTGGGGCTGGATGCTATGGTGCAGACGTGGCCGAGGCTACGTCTGTACGCATTTCCCCCTGTTGCTCTGCTCCCAGGAGTTCTGGAACGAGTCCGCCAGTACGGAATAAGCCTACTGCTTGTAGCACCACGCTGGCCGAGTCGGATCTGGTTTGCGGACCTGATCCATCTCTTAGACGGTCCTCCCTTGGAGATCCCGATCAGGAGAGACCTTCTGTCTCAGGCCGGGGGCACAATATTTCACCCTCGACCAGAGATTTGGAACCTGTGGGTTTGGCCTCTGAGGGGGCCCAACTCATAGAGAGTGGTCTCTCAGCTGAGGCTGCTGAGACCATCCTAAGCTCCAGAGCTCCAGCTACTAGGAAACTATATGCGCTGAAATGGAAAGTTTTTTCTGTATGGTGTCACCGACATCAGTGGGATCAAGTTAACTGTTCTGTGAACACAGTACTCGAGTTCTTGCAGGAGCGCTTTACGTCAGGTTTATGTCCTTCCACACTTAAGGTTTACGTGGCGGCCATTGCGGCTTACCACGCCCTGGTTGGGGGTACATCGTTGGGTCGAGACCCCCTGATTACACGTTTCCTTCGTGGCACATTGAGGCTGAGGCCTGCAACTCGCACTAGGGTGCCAGCTTGGGATTTGGCAATAGTACTAGAAGGCCTGTCTAGGGCTCCATTCGAGCCCTTAGATTCGGTTTCAGAGAAATTTCTTACCCTTAAGACTATCTTTCTGCTAGCTATTTCGTCCCTTAAGAGAGTTGGAGACCTTCAGGCCCTTTCGGTTTCCCCCACTTGCCTTGAGTTTGCACCGGGGATGGTCAAGGCATTCTTATTTCCAAAACAGGGATACGTCCCTAAGGTGCCGACCTTGATTCCGAGGCCTATCGTGCTGCAGGCTTTCTGTCCTCCTCCTTTTACATCTGCGGACCAGGAAAGGCTGAACCTCTTGTGTCCAGTGCGAGCACTGGATACTTATGTTCATCGGACATCTTCTATGAGGAAGTCCGACCAGTTATTTATTTGCTTTGGATCACCTAAGAAGGGTCTTCCTGCTTCTAAACAGACGGTTAGCAAGTGGATAGTCGAGGCTATTTCACTTGCATACGAGTACTCTGACCATCCGTGTCCCTTGGTGGTCAGAGCTCACTCAACGAGGGGTATGGCGGCCTCTAAAGCCTTGTTATTTGGGGTTTCCCTCCAAGACGTTTGTGATGCGGCAGGCTGGTCCTCACCGCTCACATTCGTCAGGTTTTACAGTTTGGACCTGGATGCTGCCCCAGGTTCTCAGGTGCTTAGTGCTTAGTTCCAACAGACTGACACTCAGGTACTTGGAATTCTGGCGTTTTGGGTATTCTCGTTCCCAAAGCGTCAAGTGACGCATCGCGAGTTCCCTCGAAAGGGAACGTCTCAGGTTACTACTGTAACCATAGTTCCCTGAGAAAGGGAACGAGACGATGCGTCACCCTGCCATACTTCCTGCTTCCCTGTGATCGGCTTGCTTCGACTTTTTGAAGCTAATGCCGCGTTTCACCGGGTGAGCCTTTATCCCTTCCTGGTCATGACGTCACCCGCCCGTGACGCTCATTCTTTCCATTGGACTAGTTGACATTGATGCTCAGACGCATGCACGCTGGGGGCGTTCCCAAAGCGTCAAGTGACGCATCGTCTCGTTCCCTTTCTCAGGGAACTATGGTTACAGTAGTAACCTGAGACGTTTTTTCCTTAAAAGCTATTTCCTTTCTACCCTTCTTGATGCTAATTTTGTTTGTGAAATGTAATGTAATCAGATTGATTCAGCTCATTTAAATAATATTTTTGACTTGAATAAAACATTTTTACAGTAGCGCATTACTAACTAGCTACACTATGTAACTTTTGGCCCTCTAGTGGCTGTTGCATAAAATTAATAAATAGTAAAAATGTACTATTTATTTATAAATTATCCTTTGTTTTAGTAATGACATTGTGGCCATGGTTACAGGTGATCATGTCACTTATGCAAATTAATTAATAAATAACAAAAGAAAGAATATATACGGAGCCCAGAACATGATGTGGACAAAAATATATAAATCATGGCCACGGAAATATATAAATCATGGCCACGGTTCTCTTGTTTTAGTAAATTGTGGCCACGTAGAACTAAATCATTACCTCATTTTGATTTAACTAAAACAAGTGAAGGAATTATTACAACGTGGCCATGATTTAGTAAAATGATTATATTGTGTACAGGATTTAAAAATGAGGGAACGAATTAGTAAAGTTGTGGGAACAAATTTGATACAAAAAAAAAATATGATTTTTAGAAAAAAAATTAAGCATGAAGGTCCATCTCTAAATCTAACCATCAGTGGGGTGTAAGCTGAGCGTAGAAATTCACTAAAATTAGTCACCAATTCACCAAAATGTACAATTATACCACCAAAAATGTTCACTTTATTAGGCTACCTTATGGATTCACCCTAGTGTAGCTTTAATGGCAAAATCAAATAATGTGTGCTAGGAAAATAATGATTGTTTTGTTGGTCTAATAGAAACCTATAGAAATGTTTGGTACATGTCTTCCTTCCAAGACCAAAAATCTTTTTATTCTTGCTTTGCGTTTAATCTACTGAGCTAGTACATACCACGGACAATGGTGATCCATCTTTAAAATGCACCTGTAAAACAGCAGAGGCAGGAGCTGTTGAAATGCAACACAGCAAAATCTATTATGTGTTGTGTCTTTTAAAAAAGGAGAAAGACATACATATCACAGGCAGAGCAATGATGACATCGATCAGGCTTCAGCAGCAGACAGCGATCACAGTAGCGGACAGCTGTATCAAGACAGCTTGTTAAAATACAGATCGATAGGATTCACTGAAGACTGAAGACAGATTGAAACAAATGTAATTGTCTGCGGCCATTATTTGTTACTGAGCCTAAATCTAGGCTGAATGGACTGTTACAGACTTGCCATGCTAACAGTGATGTCTTTGGCACAATTAGGATGTGCTGAACGTAAAGAAAAGTGCCCACCTCCTGACATTGTGCGCGTGTAAATGGGCAAATCCTTAGCAATTCTCCTCAAGATTTCCTGTTGAGATTCTCTCCGATCTTCACGCTCTAATAGTTCCTTGTCAGGATGTGACAGGTGGAACTGAAAGGAACAGACAAAAAATCAAAACATTTTGATGTTTCCTGTGTGACAAGCAAGCACGGTCTGCACTCGGAGAAGTGAGAGGAGTACGAATGATTGCCAGTTTGAGCCATATGTGGTTTCTCTATTACAGTTGGTTTCTCATTCCCTCAGCATGAAATAATAACAGCTTCCAGTGAGGTGCTATAGTTACACCAACGATCACATGCCATTTACAACCCAACATGCTGTTTTTTCAATAAGCGTAACCAACAATTCATCCTAAAAGCTGTTATACCATACATTTACAAAATTACAATGCTAACAGGCAAATAATATTCATTATAAGCCAACACCTCATGAGTCATAGTGAGTATGCTGTGCAAAATAACACTTCAATTACTTAGAGATGGCACAGTTTACACCACATTCTGATGACTTTAGTTGTCTGCTACTAATTATTGGCGTTTACTTTGAAATGAATAGTTATTATTAATATATCATTTATTTCTATTCTCAAATTTACTCACCTCTTTGAGGGGGTTCATGGGTTTTGTGAAGATGGTTTGCCAGTATGACCACAGGAACATTATGAAAAGCACATGATAAACCAGGAGATAAACTACTGTGATACAAAAGAAATATTGAAAGCTGATTAAAAAAGATCATTACATCATTAGTGGTGCTCCCTAAGGGAATTGCACATGACTATGGTGAGGGATTATTAAACTTATTCAACTTTGGTGCATAGCATAACTCAATCATGTGGTTGGTTGAGGAGATGTGTTTTTTTTTTTTTTACAATCAAGACAAATGATAATACGGGTGAAAATGTCCAATGGACTTACATTAGCATGACTCCGGTCTTCAGTGTCACATGATCATTCAAAAATCATTCAACCATTTATAAACATTCAGAAAAAGCACAAATCATTATAAATATTTGCTCCAATTAAAGGAAAGAAATTGCCATTGAAATTACCTATTAAAAAAAATAAAAAATAAAACATTGTAGGAAAAGGCTAACTTACTTTTCTCTCCCATGTTTTCAATAGATTCTGCAGAGGAAAGAGAAAGAAAAAGGTAACAATGTCACTACGATTTTGTTAATGCTGTATTTTTTTAATTCTGCACTGGATATTATTGTATAAACAGTAGGACTGAAACTCCTTGTGCATTTAGAAGGTCAGCGAGCAGCAGATGGTTCTGATCACAGTTGCTGGAACTCACGCTGTACAGAGACTCTTGATCAGATGCCCAAATTCACTAGCTCATGATTGCATCTCTTCAACTGGTGCTCTTTCAGGACGATGAGCTATTTTGTGGTGACGAGGTTAGAGATACTAACTATGACCACACAGGAACAAGCAGGGGGGAAAAGCTGTTTCAAAATCAAGATTGGACCACACGCACACAGATGACACAGAAGGAGGATTTTGTTTTGCACAGTGTGTTTTTAAAGAAATATTATTTTGAGGTTTGACACATTCTAAGCATATAGGCTCTTCAATAAATATCTAGTTGTTTAAGTTTACTAAAAATGCAGTGTCCTAAAAGCCTCATTAGATTAGCCTCATCTATGTGACTTGGGATGCACTACTCTGTCTTTATCCAAAATATGCTCTTTGAAAGATCTGGCACAAGTAAAAAAACAACAACAAAAAAACGCAATCCCAGGATACAATGCATCTATTATTAATTGAGTATAATAGATGCACAGTTTCAGGGGGTGCTTAAAAAGTTGTGATACATTTGTGATTTTGTAATAATTCACAAAAGGCATGTAAAGAATAACTGCAAGTTTCCAGCAATCACATTATATACTGTAATAAGGCCATTATCATCACACCTTATCATTCAACCCTCTCAATTCGAGCAATAAAAACTGTCAACAGATGACGAGACACATTATGACCAATTTCAGCAATTAAACCGTTTATTCTCCTGATGACATCAGTGTTGTTTAAGAAATGTGTTTGTTGCTAAACTCAACACGTGCAGCACAAGTGATTTGACAGCAGAAATAGGTCAAGTAGAGATTGGTGAGGTTGAGTTTGACAGCTTGGCAGTGAGATTACCTTTGAGACATTAGGATCAGCAGACAGTATGTTTATAACAACCTTTGTCACCATGGGTTGGGTAAAATAAAGATTTACTGACGCGCTGAAATAAATGCAACGAAACCATAGTAGTAGTAGTATTAACAAGTAAACAGATCTTCTTTTAAACCAGTGGTTCTCAATCTTGATCCTGGGGAGCCACTGCTCTGCACATTTTATATGTCTCCTTTATCTGACACACCCACTTCAGTGAATAGAGCTCTTTCCTAACGAGCTGATGATCTGAATCAAATTAAATGAGGGAGACATACAAACTGTGCAGAGCTGTGGCTCCCCAGGACCAGGATTGAGAACCACTGTTTTAAACTAACACTGTCTGTTACGGTTTTGGGTATTTGCATCATTGTTGCGATGAGCAAACAGCCCTGCTGAAAAATCCATCATAAACCAGCTTGAATTCAGTGTTGGTCTAGGCTGATTTAGGCTGATTAGACCTGGTATAGTTTAGCTGGTCCACCATCACTCCCACTTTCTATGCAGCAAACCAGCAACCCATGCTTGTCCCAGCATGCAAAACATAGGCTATGCTTGTGACCAGCAATGCTGCATTTTTCAGCAGGGTATAATCCCATTGAACCCATACAAACTAAATAGCCTTCAATTCATGCTCAAGATCAGACATTAAAGGGATAGTTCAGCCAAAAATGAAAATTCTGTCATTTATTACTCACCCTCATTTCGTTCCAAACCTGTAAGTCTTCGTTCATCTTCAGAACGCAAATGAAGATCTTTTTGATGGAAATTTTTGAGCTTTCTGTCCCTCCATTGACAGCTACGCAACTCCAATTTTGATGCTTCAAAAAGTCCATAAAAGATAGTTAAATATGAATTGAGCGGTTTAGTCCAAATTTTCTGAAGAGACTCGATCGCTTACGATAAGCAGATTTAATTTAGGCTTTACTCACAAATAAACATTGATCAGTGAACACGAACATAAGCTCAACCAAACATGCTTGACGCGCGAGAACAAACCTCTTGCGGAAGCTCAAACGTGCTGTGAAACATGAGAAGAAACCTCATAGGTTCTTGCGGAAGCACAAAAACGAAGCTGCTTGACGCAAGAGAACAAATCTTGTGGGTTCTTGCGGATATAAACATAGATCAGCGAACATAAAAGCTCAACCGAACCAGCTTGACGTGCGAGAACAAACCTCATTGGTTCTTGCGGAAGCTCAAACATGCTGCGAAACAAGAATGAACCTCATTGGTTCTCGCACGTCAAGCGAACATGAACATGTGTGAGTTGATTAATGTTTATATGTGAATAAAAGCCTAAATACAATCTGTTCGTCATATAAAGGGATAGTGTCTCTTCACAAAATTGTGGACTAACCCACTCAATTCATATTAATTAGTTTTATGATCTCTTTCTGAACCTTTTGAAGCGCCAAAGTGGTAGTTGTGTAGCTGTCTATGGAGGGGCAGAAACGTTTCATCAAAAAGATCTTCATTTGTGTTGGAAGATGAACAAAAGTCTTATGGGTTTGGAACGACATGAGGGTGAGTAATTAATGACAGATTTTTCGGTTTTTTAGTGAACTATCCCTTTAAAGCACTTCATGGTTTTTATTCTGTCAGTTCAAGTACAAAGCAAGGGGTGGGGTGCCTGGAGACCCACAGACTGCAGTTCAGCATAAACCAGTATAACCTGCCAGTGGGAACAGCCATTAGAAATGTGGCCTGGCCACTGACACTTCACTCAGTGAAGTCTCCAAGGAACATCACAAAGCAGCTGTTTTATGCACAGATATTTAAACGTCATTTGATGCTATTAAAGGAGTCCAAATACACACACAATTAGTCTTCAGAGAAAAACAGGGCATCCTCATGATCATCCACCATTCAAGAGAATAATAAAGCCTCTTCATGCTGTTTGGGAACATGATAGCAGATGTAATCAAAGGAGTGAATGATGTTAATGTGAACACAAACCTTTGCTTGTTGCGCACATACAAATGACACCGTACATAATAAAGCTTGAAGATGTTTTTAAAGTGCTCAGAGCTCATATTTACAGCAACAAAAGAAGGGGGAGAAATCAAGTTTTGTATGAGGGTCTTAATGGGTATGCCAACATTTTTCCATACAGTATTGCATATGGGTCAATGGCATGGTGCTATTTTTTTGTGGATCTACAGTATTAAGTTACTCATTAAAATACTTGAATACACCTTTTCTAGGAACATATTTGCATTTTCTGGATTATTATTGTTAGTTTATTTATTATTAAAATGTGTGGGGCTTAAAGTCCAAAATGTCTAGGTGGTGTTAACTGTCCTAAGATTGTAATAAAATTCAAAAATAAAAAATATAATAATGTCATATAAAAAAGCAATAAAACAGTTTTGTTTTTTAACATAGTTAATATGTGTATGTGTGTGTGTGTGTGTATACTAATATATATATATATATATATATATATATATATATATATTAGTATACACACACACACACATATATATATATATATATATATATATGTGTGAATTCAGGTCGATTGGGACAAATTTTGCCATTGAGATGACCGGGAAAATGTGTCCCAATCAACCTGAATTCCCAGAATTAAAATATATACAGTTTGTGTGTGTGTATATAGCCTATATATATATATATATATATATATATATATATATATATATATACATATAATCTTTTTATCATCTCACATGCTTATTAGTCACTGACCAATATTGTTTTTCAGTTTTATAATTAAGATGCAGAGATATGCATAATATTATATTAAGGGGCTCTTGTAGGCTCCAGACACACACATGCGCATAAAGAGAGGGGTTAAATAAATTAATCTTAAACAACTTGACACTAATTATGACCCACTCTTAGTCAATCTGTTTATAAGCAAATAGACCCGATCAATATCAGAGATAATATTGCTCTAGTAACAGAAGCAGACATATGCACATGGTCGATAAACCAGGTATTATTTATTCATTCACACCAACTTCATTCAGAAACCTGCTTCCAGTCTTACCTATGCAGAGCTGCACTACATACGCGTAGTAGGACCATGCCACGATCAGACTGATGAACAGCACAGGGATCCAGTATAAAACTCTCCAGCATTGATCGCTGCGCGAGCCCGACGGCGCCATCTTTCTATTAGAAGACCAAAAGTGGTCAAAACGACTAGTTCAGCCTCAGCGATCCCGCACTGCTGTTAAAACAGTCTCATGTCTTCCTCTGTGTGCAGATGCGGTTCGTCTGCTCCTGCATCCTCCGGTTCTCCGCTCGCTCTTGTTTGCAGTAGCACATCGGTACCGCCCCTTTCTACAAACTTACATGATGCTCACGCGATGCGGTGGTGTTAGCTACTACACTAAAGCATGGCTAGCCTACCGCTTTCTATCAAGTCTGCTGTATTTTATTTAGCAAACCTGTTGAGATTTGCTCTATCTATCTATTAGCTATATAGCCTATTTGTATTTATAAATCTATTTGCTATAGCCTATTTATAATGTCACAACAGCAATGTTAAACAACACATTGTTACACTATCATTATTTGGACCGGTTTCACAGACAGGGCTTAGATTAAGCCAGGATTAGACTTTAGCTCAATAAGGACATTTAAGAAGTTTTTATAAATATTCCTTAGAGAGAGAAAAACATGGCGTGCATCTGACAAAACAGTGGCACTGTCCTATTTTAAGATTTATCAGTGCAAGTTGCTTTCAGTTAAAACAGCTCAAACATCCATTTTAGTCTGGGTCTATAGGCTTAGAACCTTGTCTGTGAAACCGACCAAACGTTAAGAGGTCCATTCTCTTCTGATAAACATTTTAAATCAGTCTAAGCTGGTTTTTGATGGTCTTCAGTCTGGTCTGCTGACTTTTCAGTAGTTAGTGAGAAATTAACCTGCAGCCCAGCCAAATAGCCGAAAACCGGTTTTAACTGGGCTGAGAGACGAGTTAAAACCAGCTTTGACTGGTTAGTATAGGCTATTATCATCTAAGGAACCCCAAACTCTTTTCATTGTTACATTGTGCTTGACTAAACAAACATCAACATTAACCCTATAGGTCTAATCTAAAATGTTCACTATAAACACTTGAGTTTTTTTTATTTTTTATCAAGGCTCTTTTTTTAAAAAGGAAGCACACAACAGAAGGAATGACACAAAGTATTAGTTTGATTGTGGTTTTAATTTATTCAAACATTCTAAGCAATCTGAATACTAATGCATAAAAATTAGGCTATACACACAAACTGTAATATGCAATGTACAGATCTAAACCATGGTCTATATTCTGTAAAAAGCATTGAGACCAGAGCTACTTGTCACACAGTCATATTATAATGTTTCAATTAGAGAAAATGGTTCCATTATTTTAAAAAACACACATGACGACATGCCCCATAGGTCAATGTGTGCTTAATGACCTGTATCTTTTTTCCTGGGTAATAAATTAAAAAGGTGCAACAGCTTTTTTTATTTTTTTTTTTATTTTTTTGTAGGCAAGGCTTACAAAGGCTATGTATCTGCAAAAATGTTTACTTTTAAAAATAAACATATACCGTGAGAAATATTCACTGGAGTAAAACAAGTGGATTCAGTTTCTGCTTGTTTGTTGTTTTGTCTTCTCCGCAAGAGATTTCTTAAAGGAGTGGCAGTGTAGGAAACCCATAAAAGAGGTGGAGAGAGGGATCTGTATGTGTAGCACATTGTGAGATAACTGAGGTCTCATTATTGCTCTGTGCACTCAGCACTGTCAGACCCTGTGTAAGCTGATCTGGGTGGTGGGCAGTGGACAAGCTCAGAGAAACTATGTTAGCAATGTGCTCATTGTAAGGAAAGATTATCTGGCTTACAACTCCTAGAGAAGCAAATAGAACAATGCATTGCCAATACAGCAGGCATTAAAAGAAAGCATTAAATCCCATTTTCTTTACACAAAACAGATCAATAAATATAATAAATTACTGTACATTCCACCAGAATTCAGCATTTTCCACTTCAACATAGTTCCCTTTAAATTTTTACATTTATGGAGTAATATATCATCATAAATAAAGACACTTTGCAATTCATTAACATAATTTATCTCAAAATGTGGGCACTGGACCTGATGTTTAAATGTATTAGACCTTTAATAAATAACTTTTTGATTAATAAAAGTATCATGGCTATATGACTATTTCATTAAAGTGTTATCCCTTCTAGTTAACAGCTTTTATAGAGTTAATAAAGTGCCTGCCAAGTAACAAAGCAGTAACTATAGTCCAGAGAGGTAGCATGTGTTAATCTAATTATGGCAGTACTATTTGTATCGTACAGAGTTTGACACAGGTCAGGTAGGTAATTGCATTGAGTCACTGAGAACTTTAATCCAACTTGAGATATCTTCACTGAGACGTGAGGGTGAGGAGGAACAGTGGGACTATCACCTGCACAAATCAAAGACATAACAGGAGAATAGCATATATCCAACTAAATAACTAAATCCAACAAGTGATAGAACAAGACAAGAGAATAGAAATGGAACAGCTGTTTATTTCATTCAAACTGCATTTACTCTATTCATACACCCAGAGTAAGTCGAATTGTTTCCTGTTTCTAGGTGTTTCATGGTGTGGGTTGGGCTGTATTCTATTACTGTGTAAAGTCTTAATACACTATGTTAGGCTGGTATCTTGTATCTCTGGATAGCAGACATTAATTTTACAGAGTAATCTGATGCTAGAAAAAGAGCTTTGGCTGAATGCTGAGCAGTGCTAGCGCTGTAGTTCAGAATCATTAATTCCAAATTCTCCAGGGCAATATCTAGCTAAACCCAAAATACTGGATGCTATCTACAACATTTTCTATTCAGACATAAACTTACCTATTTAGCAGTGAGTTCCTTCTTCATGCAGGCTTTAAAGGATGTGAATCTCTCTTCACCTTTATATCCCTGAGTATAACATGAAGAGAAAATATTTATCATCAACACATTGGTTTTATGTCATCAACATTACAAATCAACATTATTAATGAAATGAATTGTACTAGTCAATGAGTGAATTGGCAATACATGGCCACTAGATGTCAGCAAAATTGCACCAACAAAAAACAACAACTTTTCTTTAGTTGAAATACAAGGCAACAATATTGGATTTGTATATTCAAAAGTTTGGGGTCAGTAAGATTTTTTTTTATGTTTTTTTAAAAACATCATCTTATGGCCACCAAGGCTGCATTCTTTTGATAAAAATACAGTAAAACAGAAATATTGTGAAATATTGTTACACTTTCAAATAACTGTTTTCTATTTTACTATATTTTAAAATGTAATTTATTCATGTGTTGTCAAAGCTGAATTTCCAGCATCATTACTCCAGTCTTCAGTGTCAAATGACCCTTCAGAAATAATTATATTTGCAGAAGATTGGCATTTATTTCAAATGGATTTTTTTAACAATGCAAACATATTTACTGTCACTTTCGAGTAATTTAACGCATCCTTGCCAAATAAAAGTATTCATTTCTTTTTTTAATTTTGACCCCAAACTTTTGAATGGAAGTGTAATAATACTAACAGTGAAACTAATATAGCAACAGTACAGTGATAATGACTAATCTGAATTTGAAGCTAAAATTGTGCTTACATTTCACAGGGATATATATCCTGTCACAAGCAAGGTGACTGACAGCTGATTTGCATAATAAAACAAAGTAAAAAATAAATGCAATACAATTTTTTGGGAAACAGAGTTTCCGAGCATATTTACCCAAGAAGAGCCACGATGCAGCCGATCTTTCATTATCCCAATGAACTCCTTGTAGCTTAGATGGTCATCATGGTCCACATCAAAGATCTTGAAAATAGTGTTCACAAGGTGTCTTGACAGCTTCAGGCCAGTGGCCACATAGACCGCACGGGCAAACTCATCTGTGAGCCGAGAGCCAAACATCATTAGCCACAGACTTTGAGGAGTAACTGGATTAAATGAGCATGTTTACCTTGTCCAATTGGCCGATTTGCGTAGTTGTACATTTGCATTGCAATGGCAAAATCCTCTAAGTTGTTGAGGAACTGAAAGAATGACCTAAACTCTTCAAAAGTGATGCCCTAAAAGAAAAGATCAGTGTTAAATCAGTGACTTACAGATGGAATCGTCAATGTTCCTTTAAACAGAAAGCTTTGGGCAATAGAAAGAGATCATTAAGTCAGAGTCTTTATAATAGGATAGAACTTGTGCAGCGAGCTAGTACATAAAATGATGAATTTCAAAAGATAGTCTCAGAATAACTCTCCCTAAACAAGGCAAGGCATTACGCCTCACTTTCTCAAAAACGAGGGCACCTTAAGTGTTTGTGGGAACTTGGAGAGCGATAACAGATCCCAAGAGCCAAGACAGAAAATAGCAAAGTCAAACAATCCCAGCGCACATCTCTCCTGCTCCCGCACCCGATATACACAACTGGAGCTGTCAACACCTTTAGATTGTTTGGTTAAAGGAGAGGTCGGGTAGCTTGTCAACTCTTCTAAAGAAGATTAACCTGATACTTGCATGCATAAAAACAAAAGGGGATGTGTCCAAAATATCGCACCGCTAGCAGATTCCCCAAACAGCGGTCCTTTTGATTTCCACTCATCCATTTCCAGGCACTAGACCCACGTCTTTTTATGAAGCCGCTCTTGCAACCAACAACAACTGTTTTACAAATGATCTAATGACTAATATGTGACGCTTAGGTGGTTTTACAAGTTAAGCTGTTTTGCAATATCTCTTAACTTAAGAATAAGAACCACTTGTATATCAATGGCCATCCACCAACAGCCTCCTCGAGCAACTGAAAAGACTCTAACCTTTTAATGTGAGGGTCAATGTGCAAAAAGGGAAACAAAAGAAAAAAAAGGCACTAACATCGTTCAGATTATAAATATCCTCCTCTCTCCACATCTGTGGTGGTATTTGTTTTGCAATGCAATGATTTGAATAGACTCATTTATAATACATGAAAACATGATAAAGGGGTAGAAATATTAGAATACCTCCAATTGTGTTTCTGTACTTCCCAAGCTAACAGGGAATGTTCTCAGAACTTTGGTTAACGTTCAACCAAGGATCAAGGTGAACAAACATTCTTGCAGAAATGTTAATAGAATGCTCGTTCAAAGTTATCTGGGCTTTTAATAACTTGCTCAAAAATGCTGTTTCAATCATGACAACTCTCGGAATAGTTTTTACATGTTATTGAATATGGCAGTGTTAATGTATATGGTCTTGGTGGCCAAGATCTGCTACACTGCTTCTGTTGATTATTGTTGCTGCTGCTTAAGAGCATGTATGGACTTGCTGCTGCCAATAGATACACAGAC